GAGTCAAACGAGCACGGAACCGGTACTGTGCTCGCAGCGTGTGCTCTTCAATTGCACGCACTAAGGCGCCGGCGTGCGCTGTAGCCTGTATCCTTTCATATCAAAGCGCGAAATAAACTACGTGCATGTCGTGGTCAGGTAAGTCATGAAGTTACCAAAAAGGTGATTAAAGCCGCCTTAAAACTGTGCATGCATGTAATATATTTTATATGAGTCACATTTAAGAACATGTCTCTGAAATGGTTTTCAAAACTGTCCTGGAGCAGCCCAGCACTGTCTCACTCATCTAACAAACCCGATTTAACTCGTCAGCTCATTTCATTAATAGAGACTTTAAGACCTGAAGTGGGTCAGAAAAGGAAGAGATTTGAGAGAAAATATGATGCGTGTCAGATCCGCGTCACGTTCAGCAGCAGCAGAAATAACAGCCAAAACAACCTAATAACCAGCTGCTGTATGTCTATTAATCAAAGGACAAAGAAAAAAAAAAAGAGGAAAAAATAACTTTTATAGCTTTAAGGATTCATCTATATTTAATATATATTTATATTCATCTATATCAATTTCTGTATATTTCTGCTGAAGGGCACAGGTAAATATGATTATTTATTATAATGGGTTTATGTAAAAAAAAAGGTGTCAAAATTAGCGCGTTAACGCGTAAAAAATATTTAACGCAATTAACGCAGGGGCAGGGCTAGAGTTGGCCACCCCACTCATAACTGCTGCATGTCAGTTTTTCTCTTGACAAGAAGTACATTTATTCAGTCGCAGAACGACTGAGAATGGGAGACGTTTCAGACGCACGCTTCACTTCGCTTCAGCGCCAGGCGCGAGTCAAACGAGCACGGAAACGGTACTGTGCTCGCAGCGTGTGCTCTTCAATTGCACGCACTAAGGCGCCGGCGTGCGCTGTAGCCTGTATCCTTTCATATCAAAGCGCGAAATCTGAAGTGGGTCAGAAAAGGTAAAAAGAGTTGAGAGAAAATATGATGCGTGTCAGATCGGCGTCACATTCAGCAGCGGCAGCTCTTAAAGAAATAACCTAATAAAGAAAACTTTAATGTTAGGTGGGATTAATCGCGATTCATTTCAGAAAAATATGCGATTAATTAGTTAAATTTTTTTTATCGATTGACAGCACTAATATATATATATATATTCAATATAAAATATAGATAACAATACATAATACATTATAATATATAATAGTTTTATATAATTACATAAAATAAAATTCCACAAGATTTGTAAAACATGTATACAAAAATATGTTAATTTATACAGTAAAAATATACAAACTGTATAGATAAATATAAACATAATATATAAATATATACTGCGTATATAAAATAAAACTAATATTCAGTAATTTTATATAAAATAGATAACATTACATAATACATATAAAATATCAAATTCATTAAGTTATATTCCATAAAATTACTAAAACATGCATAATATATATGTATACATGTATAATTTTAGAATTGTATCATAATTTTATAGAATTATATAAAATAAACGAATCATATTCATTTATAAAATCATTAATTTATATATAAATGAAATTATTCAATATAAATACCTTTAATTAAAAATAACAATTTATAACATTATATAATACATATTAAATAATAATTTGATATAATTATATAAAATTTAATTCTATAAAACTATTAAAATATGTATATACAATTTTTTAAAAATATATACAGTAAAAATATAAAAACAATGTAACTTCTAATTGTTGGTCACTGTTTATACTGATAATATAAATAATGAAAAAAGCACAGCTATGTAGGAAATCGTTTGCCTTGGACAACAATCAGTTATACTGTGTAGAATAGTTATAACAAAAAATAAGCTGACCCCAGAATGCCACAATTGACCACCAATCAGAATCCAGCAGACAGTGTTAAAGACCACAGAGTAGTCCAGTATGTGACCATAATGAATTGAAACATGCATCTCTGCCTCCACTACACTGAATGATAGAACAAAAGCTACAGTATTCAGTCAGAAAACGCCATTTTTCAACTTATTTATTTATTTTGCGTTATTGAGCCACTCTGCTGCAGACACACTCTCCATCACTGCTCCTCCCAGGGGTTTGACACTTCCTGTTTGTACACTTCCTGTGGATTCGCTAGTCTCCCTGACAACAGTGGGCGGAGAAGAGGTTTCCTCTTTAACGTGATGGTCTATGATGGCACAAATCATTAGTCAGAATTGACTGCGCCAGCAAGGCGTCTCTCTCTCTCTCTCATCCTCAGGATAAGTATTGACCTCTTCTTATTGGCAGCCTCTCTCTCTCCCGTCTCTCGTGAAGCCGTTCCTGGCACATCAGGAGGCTAATTAACACCGCCTATGACTAATTTGATTAAAATGAGCCTTCTTTAGTGCGTATCGGAGGAAATTGAATCCAATTTATAAAGGGAGCTGCATAACCTATGCTGGACTAATTACAACCAATAAATGCATGACATCTGCAAGGAGAACAGAGCGCGACGCATTATGATCCTGCGAGGCCCCGGGGCACCTGGCTGTTTGGAGGCCCCTCTTTGGTTCAATTTTGAAATGTAATGTGCAAATAATGGCGAATTATGTCACAAATATGAGAAATACTTGTGTATTATGAGAATTAACAAACCATGTGAATAATACATTTAAGCAACACAACAGTTGCAAAGATTAGACATGAATTATGAAAATGAAACATTGAAAGTGGGAGCAGCGGGGTAAAGTGCGTCAGATGCTTTAGGGTAAGCTGTGCCAATGTGAACGACAAACATTTCAAGTGGGGGCCAATTTTCCTTCCATTCAAATAAAATGAGGAATTTTATGTACTGACGAAGCAACATCAGACAATAAGCCTGGAGATCTGCAACATTTCATACTTGTCTATAAACTAAACAACAGCTAAAATGTAGAATAATTATATTTACATTGCATTTACATTTATGCATTTATCAGACTTAGCATATTAAACTTTAAATGCCTGGTTTAAGGATATGTTTAAGAAAATGTGAATAATAATAAAATGAAACTTTGAAACATAACAGTACATTCTTATATTGTATTTAAAAAATGAATGAATGAATGAATAGAAATGTACAACTTTTGAATATTATACTTTGCATGCCTGGTTCACAGTTGCTTTAAGAAAATGTGAATATCTGGCTAAATAAAATTTTGAAATATAATAGTGCATTCTTATATTCTATTTTTCATTCTTATATTCTATGTATGATCACAGGAATAAATTACATTTTAAAATAACAAATGTGCTTCAGCCAGAAAAAAGGGTATGAAAAGTGCTTCGAGTCGCTGCAGAAAAAAACAAATTTGAACAACAACAAAAACTGGAAATGTTGCTGGAGACGGGCTTATTTAAAATGAAAACTCATTCTCTGCCAGCAGGAGGCGCTTTTAGAGTGATAAAACTAGCGGTTTCTCCAGTAATGTGCTCCGCTCATGAATGCTACATTATCAGATCAAATGAAAATGCCATCGAAACTTTACTGAAGACAGTCAATTCCCTTCAGAGATACATTCATATAAAACACCCGCGCCGTGTTATGATTTTGAAACGTGCAGTGCTCGTTTATTCAGCGAAGTCAAACGGCACAAATAAATCAATGTATGGGAAACTGGTAATGTATATCGAAATATCGGAAATGTGTTTAAAAATCATATCACCGTTATTGAAAAAAATTATATCGCGATACATATTGATATTGAATTATTGTCCAGCCCTAAATATAATATAATATAAAATCTACGTATTTTTGGTATTTTATTTTAAAGAAAATTGTTTTCGCAATCCCCAATGATTTGACTTTTCTCTTGACATGACACAGCTTACCCCTAATGTGTCACAGGACACATTTATTTTTAATTTCTAAATGTACAATTTAGTTCAAATTTCTATATTTTTCTCACTTCCTGTTTTACCAGAGGACAACTTCCAATAAAAACGCCGCCGCTCACCCCATCTCTGCAGGTTAAGGTGTCTTGGTAACATCAATATTGGTTCTTATGACTGCGACTGACCTGCGACCAGGGAGTTCTGTGCGGCTGACTGCTCCAGAAGCACCATATGCTGCAGGAGAGTGTTGTGTGCCGAGCCGCCCTCCCGCTCTAAGGTGGAGGCGGCCAAGTAAGAAGACAGGTGGGCTCCTGGCATGAACGGAGTGGTTATGGGTATTCCTGGCTGCAAGCCTGGCACTGCCATTCTGTCACCATCCTGTTGGCTAGATGCCACCTATGTAAATAGAGAATGAAAGAGCATAATTCCAAAAGAATCTAGGGCAAAGTAGAGAGGACATGCCCCTGTAAATTATGTTTCTCTTGCGTCAGAGATCCGCGGTCAGTTATTGTCTCTCAAAAGGCTCTTTTTGAAATGTCACTGGTGCTGAAAGCCACATATGGCACCCTGACGGTCCAGACAGGGGCCTCTCTATGACGGAGAGAAAGAAAGAAGGACTCACGCTGGAGGGGCCGGTGGCTGGCAGGCCCAGGGTGATGTTGGGAAGGGAGGGCGATGTGTACAGAGACAGCTGGCTAACAGGACCCTCTCTGCCTGTGAGTCTGTGCGCCAAAGATGGCTGGAACGACACACACACACACCAACATATGCACAGATAAATAAACCCCACTGATAAAAACAAACAGCTCTGTCTGGTTGCTCTCCGGACCCCTGCGGGACCCGTCTACAGAAGGAGACTGTGCACGGCTTAAAAACATGCATGGAAACGGCCAGGAAAATCACAGAACACTTCCCAAAGCAACAAGCGACAAGTGTGGCCACCAATAAAATTGAGCTAAAATGTGTCCTAAAGATGAAGCATGCACAGACGTAAAGAGATTTAGAAGTCCATTTAAGAATACAGCAATAAGCCTCAAGAGAGGTGTCATGTGCTGCAGTAATTTTATCATGCTTAAGTGAATGAATCAAAGTGCCTAATTAAAAAAACATTAAAAAGGGCTTTTGTAAAATGGTGGAAAAAGTAATATTACTGAAAACACAGATGTTCAATAAATAATGAATTTGTATAGTTAATAATAGTCATCATAAATAATTTGTATGCCAATCATTAATCTAACTCTAGATTACTTACAATCACGAAACAATGTTGCAACTTCATAGCAAATTTTAATTTGTAATTATTTTATTACAATTTGCCGTATATACATTTGTATTATTAATAAACATATTTATAAAAAATATAAAAATCAAAGCAATTAAATTAATGTATATTATAATATAATACATTATATTAATAATATAATAATATTTAATATAATATACTAATTTATTATTATATTATAATTGTATATACTACAACTATCATATATTATAATTTGGCAATATAAGGATGATTTTGCACTGATGTCTGAATTATCATTTTGAATGATGACTTGTGAATAATCTATTAGTTTGTGAAAAAATTAATTAATAAAATAAAACTATATTTTTTATTAGGAATTAAATTCAAGCATTTAGTTCACTGGATCATCCAAAATTAGGCGTTACCACATAAAACATAATATAATTTTACATTGCCAATTATAATAAATACCAGGGATTCCAAAACATTTAATATATTAATAGATATAAATGAATGATAATAATAAAATGTGCACAATTCTCTGACATTCATACCACATGCAGAACAACAAATATAATATTTCATGCTTTTAATAATTTTTGTTTTGTTTTTATTTAAACATTTATTTTACAAATAATTAATTCATTATTTAAAATATTTAATTTTACATTTTTATCATTTAATTATTTATTAGTTCTTTATCAGCTCACAACCCCCCTGTCGAACCCTAGTTTGGGAAGCCATGATAACTTTATCAATAACTTTAACGTACTGCAAACCCCTTCGTGCTGCCATGATCTTAACCAACTGTGGGGAAGCATGCAGTGCACTGTACCTCCACTGGACTGTTGGAGATTGATCCAGCGATGCCGTTCTCATTGGTAATATTGTTTGAACTGTTGTTGGGTGAACTTGGACCAGAGCCAGGAGCACTGCTGCATGCCGATTCTGAGAGAAAATGGACTTGATTAATTAGGTGTCAGTCAAGAATGAACGTAAATTGGAGTCACGGCCTAGCAGTCCCTCTTAGCAGTGCATGCAGGAGGTTCTGCCCATGACTTTTTGACCTACTTTCACTATGAATTAAATGTGAACGATGTTCAAGACGGATCCTCTCACCTGCCATGTCGAGAGAGCGCTTCTTTGCACTGGTGACCGGCCCATCCTTCCTCCGAAGCAGCGGGCTACTCCTGCGCTCCGTAACTTTCTGCTTCAGCCTGGATCGCAGCTTCAGGTTGGGCTCAGATGCTGATGAGAGATGGAAAGAGGACAGGCATCAAATTAAAGCAGGAACAGGAAATGTAGTTCATATTGCAACACTTCTTTAAAATAGCAGGATGTGTGTAGATCGAGCTGTGTGACATTAAAACCAAATAGACTACATTTACACTTAGGTGTGCTCAAAAAACATTGTAATAATAACAAATATATAAAAAAAAAAAATAATAATAATAATTATATATGTAAAATAAATAAATAAATAATTCTAAATAAATAATTGCATAAATATAAATAGCTAAAGAAAAAAATAAAGAAAAAATAAAGAAAAATTTTGAAATAAAAATTAATCACATAAATATACTAATATATACATAAAAATTATTACATTATATATACACATTAAAATCCATCTGAAACTAATTGGATTCTCCACTGAAAAAGATTTCTGGTCGTAAGCAGTGAAAAGGTGGCTTTTTGACTGATTCTGCAGAATACAACTGTTAAATAACCAGGAAGTTTGACACTAGCTTGACCTGTCCCAAGCAACTAATGAATCCTTATAAAAAAATAAAATAAAGGCTAGTTCGGGTCACTCATTATGCTTGTGAATCCAGATTCCAGTCGAAAAACAATGGAGCAAACCAGCATCTGAACAACTTCCAGCTTGGCACAGCAACTTGCCCAAAAGTTTAATCAAGTCCATCTAAGTGTAAACACTGCAAATGAATACCCTCGGCCGAGAAGGCTTTCAGTTAAACAGTTTGCAAACACAAGCTCTTGGAGTGTGACGTAGCGTGTCAGAACAGGCCTGCCACTGAGGCGGCGGCACAGGCCTGGCCAGCAATTACCAAAACGAAAGTTGACCGTGAGGGTCAAGCCTGTTTGAAACTGTCATCCAGGCACGGACGTTTCGCCCATTAGCCACTGCTGACATTTTCACCCGCTCACATACTCCAACAAAGGCTTCTCAATCCCTCTCTTGCCCCAATTGTGCTGTGGCGCTTGATCCTTGCTCTGTTTGTGACCCCGTGTCAAAACATGTACGGCCCCGCAAGAAGAGCACGCAAAGTTCATTAGGAGCAATGCAAGCCTGGCCACTTTAAAGTGCACTCAATAGTCATTTGGAACGGAACCTCATGCACCTTTTGCCAACTGCAGACATTTACATGAATAAACTTGTCAAAGTGCTCAAATCATACATACAGTGTTGATGGACAGTGTTGAGTGTTTCCTCTCAACATTCATGTGTCTGTCTTTAAGAAGCAGTAAAAACAATTTAGTATATAGTTAAAAAAATGGGTTATTTTACTTAACCCATTTTTTTTTTCCTTTTTTTTTTTTTAAAAACAAAAAAGGTTTTTACTCACCTAATTTTTTCTTTTTTAAAGCATAAACCTTACTCTTTTTTTTAAGATTTATGCTTAAAACGGGAAAAAACAGGATAAGAAAATGTAAATTATGGTTTATTAATAAACTATAGTTAAAATTAATTATAGTAAGCTTGTATGTTAACAGTAGTTTCAGCAAGTGTATATAAATTTTTTTTTTTTTTACATATTAGTACATTATTGTTTCTCCTCTATGCCCCGCCTTTTTGAAACGCGTTGATTTTTACAAAGCTCATCGGTCTGAAAAAGTGAGGTGTGCTGTGATTGGCCAGCTATTCAGTGCGTTGTGATTGGCCGAATACCTCAAGCGTGAGACGGAAATGTTACGCCCCTCACATACTGTTGATGCCGTGTCCGGCCGGAGTGACGAGACATAAACATTAAAACCCATTACAAACGAGGCATTTGTTGCATCCAGTGGGGACATAATTACTGATTATAATGACTTATACTGTCTTTTTATGCGTTGCGTTGCAGTGCATCGCGCCGCGTAAACATAAAACTCTGTCTGCATTTGTGATCAGAGAAATGACAAACAACAAGTGCTACTCTAACACTGCCCAAAACTGTGTCTTGAAACCCTCCCAAACAACATGTGGTGTAGGTGCTGTTTGAATTTTTTTTTTTTTTAAAGGTTTTCTGACCCTGAGACTCAACTATTTTCTGCAATTCTCCAGCTGTGGTCCTTGGAGAGTCTTTAGCCACTCAAACTCTCTGAAATCATCTGACATCTGAAATAAATGTATCTTGTTTTAAAAATACCGACTAAAGTTTTATTTTTATTTTTTTTGGTAGTATGAGTTAGATACTGCATTGAAGTTAACATTGGACAAGTGCAATGTTTCTGAAACAACTGTATATATACTAAATCAAAAGCTCAAACATCTGCATGGCATCACAGCACAGAAATAAACATCAGACTGAATAATCATGCTACAAATACCAGAAATACCACCATGTCTTGGGTACAGTTGTAAAATTTATCTAGCAATAGTATAAAGCAAATTATACTACTTATGGTGCTACTTGCAGTCACAAACTAGGCTGTCAAAGCACATATTCTGCACATTTTGGTGTTAAATATTGGCTAAAACATGTTACCTCCTATGGCTTATAATGAGTCATAACACGTTGACATGGATGGTTTCAAATGAATGTTCAAAGTAAAAACCTTCACCACTTGCTCTAACAGGCAGATACTGAGGAAGCAAAGTTTCCATCACTTCTCCTCTCAAGAGCACTCTATTCTGAAAGGACAATTTTGTGGTTATACTTATCAAACTAGGTAGATATGAGGACGGCACTTCTCGTAAGTGGTAGGAACATTCCCAGACATCTATGTTAAAGAAAGCTGGGCACGCTGCCATTAATGCCCTGCATTAGCAAGGGCAGAGGAACAAGGAACGGTAATAAAGACAGGAGTAAATTTAACATGAGCCCATCTTACGCCATCTGGCATTTAATAAAAAGTAGAAACAAAACCTTTACAATTACAAAACTTGTCGTTGCAAGTGAGCAATTGAGCATCAGCACAAAGCTAGATTTGATTTAGTTTTGTAGTATATTTTACGGTGCTGTATGTAATGTTTGACTGTACTAAAGCATAAAAATACCACAATATTTTTGCAGATATTTAGAAAACATGCTAAGTTCACATACCCGTTTCTCTGAAAAACAATGCTACAGCCATATATTCTACTTTGAAATGTTCATTCCGTGCCGGAATGTCCTGTTTTTGTTTTGGTCTGTGTGATTCCACCCACTGCCAATTTAGCCAATAGAATTTCGACACCCGGCTTGCCAGTTGGTGGAAAACACAGCGTATTGCAGCCATGGAAGCTAGCAAACGAACTGGGTCAGAGGTCAAAAAGCTTCAGCGTCCATCTAAAAAGCTCTATGACCAGATGAATATTAAAACGCTAATACATCAACTTATCAACTAACAGTGTAAGGCTTGTCACCTTCCATTGCCAGCTGTGCTTGTTCTTGTTCCGTGTCACCAATCTGGCAACCTGCATGAGCATCGAGTCTCAGGAGGAGGGGGCTGGAGAAACGACGCTCTCCAATATTTTGAATATGGACTGCAGTACCCATTTTAACCACTAGCTGTAAATATTACATACTGAACCTATAAAACGATATTCAAAATCCAACAGCTATACATCTCAAGCTACGCACTTTTTGGTTTGACCACTTGAAGAATTTTAATAGTTTTAGCATGAAATATAGGCTATAGCTGGCAGCTGTAAAGGAAACAGATGAGCTCTCTCACTGGCAGTAGTCAAGGTGCTTGACTCTCACCGGCCTCTTGTAAAAACTGTTGAAATAGCAGAACCGTGTGCGAGTGTGTTTATGCCAGTGCTGTTCCAGAATTCTCTGACACGTCCGCTGCAGTGGCCCATGATATTTGCTGATGTTACACACTCGTACATGTCTGCTCCAAACTCAACTCCTGAAGGGTGACGGTGACCCTACTGGGCAGTTTGACAAGGCAGAACAGGTTAAAATCTATTTTCACAAAGTGAAAGATCAACACTGAGGTTCTAACTTGAGCTTAACCACAATGTGGATAAATAAAGTCATATTTATTTATATAGAACTTAATAGTTGTTTCAAAGCAGCTTCAGAGTAAGAAACAAGAAAATAACAATAGTATATAGATAATAGTGTCATTATTCAGCTTGTCAGTTCAGTGTTATTTCAGTTTAGTTCAGTAAAGCAATATGGATGCACAGATATTAAAATCGATAAGCCGATATTTCTATTCATTTTTTTTTCATAGCTGATAACCGATAAATGGCTGATATTAGAATTCTACAAGATTTTGTTCAATTAAATTAAAAATAAAACATGAAATTTATCATCTTAAAGTGTACAAGTGAATTAGGCATCCAAAAATTATACTAAGCAATATGAAAAATTGATATTCACTTTGAGATTTGCTAAAGATTCCACTTAAAAAATTAATTTTCAGAAAGTGAAAGATCGTCATCAAGGTTCTAGCTTGAGTTTAACCATAATGCAGAAACACGCTAGAGATGCACAGTTATTAAAATGAATAAGCCAATATTTTTTTTTATTTTATTGCTGATAACCAATAAATGACCGATATTAAAATTCTCTAATATTTTGTCCAATTGATTTAAAAATAAAACTTAAAGTCAATGGTTTCAAACGCAGATTATTGAAGCCGATATTTCTTTTAATTTAGGGCTGATAACCGATAAATGACCGATATTAAAATTCTACAATTAAATTAAATATAAAACCTAAAATAAAACATTTCAAAGGCTAGAAGTGAATTTAGGGATTTATAATGTGCAACATGAAAAATGGATATTCACTTCGAGATTTTCTAAAGATTACATTTAACAGTGTAAATAAATTAAGTTAAAAAAATGGTTTAATACTTTAAATGAGTGTTAGATGGCAACAATTGTAACCCACATTAAATGGAAAAAAAGAGAAAATTACCTTGCACAATTAAATAAACAATATTGGCTGATATATACCCAATAGCCAACTGATTAAAATAAATAAAAAAGTAACTTTGGTTGATATTCGATATAGAACAGTTATTTTGGGCATCCCCAAAAAGTACCAGTTTCCTCTTGCACAGCATCTATGGCATATCATAGT